CCCTATACAATCCCTAAACCCAATGGCTGGATGTAAATTGAAAATCGAGGCCTAGAGCTCGGGATTCAGAGCCCGGGAACACTTGATCAGCTCAGGAACTGGGCGCGTGAACTTCAGAGAGCCAACTAGACAAAGTAAGAGAGCTTACGTAGTCCGTCGAACTAATGACGCCACTTAATGCAAATAACAGAACTCATTACCTGAGAAACTGATATTGGAAAGGTCTCCGGGAACGAGTTACAAAGGGTAGTTGCGCACAGTTACGCTTTAACATTTGTGCGGAACGCCTGCTCGAGGAACCTCACTTGCTGGGGAATGTTTATGCTCTTGTTTCCTGTCTAGAGGTTACAGCAGCGGCTGGCGCCCAACAATCCGCAAGCAGACGTTGCTAGGAAGCCTCTGACCCTGTAAGATTTGCGGTGTATCCGCGCACCCCGGGCTGTTCCCCCCCTGAGTCCTACAATCTTTAAGCCTACCCCTCGCCATCCCGGCACCCTAAATCTGGAACCCATTCTTCTCAACACGCCTACACCCTTAAGTGTATACATGGGCTATACTCTAGACTCCTAGTTTCCCCCTTAATAACGCACTGTGAGGAGTTCAGACCCTAAACCCTATATGAGCTCTAGTCTAAACTCCTAGTATCCCCCATAATAGCCCTTATAGTAGTCCCCTATATAATCCCCTATATAACCCCCTTTAAGGAGTTTAGACTATAGCTCATATAATCCCCTATAGCTCACCTAGGTCAAGTCACAGTCTTCACCTCGATGATCTTCTTCAAAGGTGTCATCGACCAGGGTAAGGACTTGCAGAAAAATCAGCTGGCTTCAAAGTTTTATGCTGCGTATACTAATATTATACTATAAGACGATATTTCTATTCTACTATAATAGTGTCAAAGTTCAATGGTAAAACGCTGAAACAGTAAAAGCCTTTCCAGTGCTCATGGTTGGGGGTCTGGGGTTTACTGTAGGTTTGAACGGATTCGGGGTTGACCACGTGGCGCTATCAGCAGGTGAGCAACAACAGTAAAGCTTCTCAACTTGGTGCTACAAAGCAAGGCAAGCACTGTGAAACTTTGTTCGTGGGGTAGGGAATATAGGGCTTTGTAAGAATAATGGAAAAGAAAATGGAAACTACCAGATTCGCATGAAACTACCAAATAGCATATTGGTGTTAAATTACGGTTATATAGGGATAATGGAAATGGAAACGACTCTATTCCCATATAGTATATTGGGGTTTCATATGTACCTTGCTGGCTGCCTTGAGTGGGCAACGGTATTTTTCCGACATCCCGAGCTGAGATTTTGCGCCTGCTGCGCCAGCTTGTGCTGGCAGCAATGAGGCTGGCGTAGCTGGGAGGCAATATTCTACAGCTAACCCTGGCGCTGGGCCACGGCCAAGAGTGGCCGCAGCAGCGCAAACGAAACGGTGGCTTGCTAAGAACTACGCCTGCGACTACCACAGAATCTCATAGGGCGTGTAGAACTTACCCTATACACCTTCTACCTTCCCTGCACCCTGAACCACACCGAACCCTTTTCAATCTGGGGCTCGAAGCCACACCCTAAACCCAAAGCCCTAAACTCTATGAATCCTGAACCCCCAGCAGCCGGGTAGGCTCACTTCTTGCCCTTCTCGGGGGGCTCAGGGGGCAGGTATGGCTTTCGGTGGCGGCGAGTTCCGTGGTCTTTGTCCCTTGGCTGATCAAGGATTAAGAGGGGGTCCCTTCCACACAAGCATCTGGATTATGAGGCTTTGGGGTAAAACTTCACCACGGCTTCAATACTACCTGCAGGGTGCAGGGGCCGGGGGTTTGGGAGCTTGAGGTGCTTCGCAAACTGCACCCAAAGTATGCTGAAGATACGGAATTCCCTGTAGAAGAGAAACATGCATGCTTGGAGTTGGAGGGCTCCAGTTCAGCCCTCAACTTGCGCCCCGAACCGTGGTGCTGGCTAAGGAGTATCTGGCCCTTTCAGGATGTCTTGACATCCAAAGCAATGAAGTGAAGGGGTTTGAGACAAGGCTTGGGGGCTCCAGAATTCTCTAAACCCTAAAACCTACTGCTGACTTTAACCTCCTTTTGAATCTGGAAATGCAAGATGCCAGAAGCCCTAAACTCCTAGACCCTAAACTGGTGCTTGTGTAGCTCAGCTTCGGCTTGAAGATCGGCGAGAAGCTGAAGTATTTCGGAAAGGGGTCCACGAAGAACATGGAGTCATCTCCGAGCCAGACTACCCTCGGATTAGAAGACAGGGTTTAGAGTTTAGGGTTTAGGGTTTAGGTTATAGGGGTTTCGGGCTGAGGATTTTGGGAGAAGAGTTCAGGGTTTTGGGGATTTAGGGCTTAAGGGTTTTTGGTCAGAGAGGTAGCGCTGAGGCATTAGGACTCAGGATGAGACTGAATGCCTGAAACCATGGAAAAACACCACCTCAGCTGTAACCTAAACTCCGTTAGTAAAGGGAGTTCTATAGGGGATTGTATAGTGGACTAGTGGGGGTTCTTCAGGGGGATACTAGGGGTTTAGACTATGGCTCACCTCAGATCGTCCAGGATGGAGGCAAGGTCCTCCTGTCCAGGCGTTTCAGGGTCCAAGGCTCTTGGGCCCACTGGCACTATGCCACGATGCACCTAAACCCTACACCCTACAAAGTAGTTTCCATTTTTTCAGTTATCCCAATATAACCCCTATATAACCCTAATATTACCCATTATAGTATCCTCCCGCAGGAGGGGTTCAGTTGCTTCCGCATCAGGCTCGCGCAGCACAAGTCGATGAACAACGTGAACGTACATGGTTTCACCCACCGGGTGCCATGCTTCAGAGGACATTGCCAGTGCTCTGCACGGCAGTCGTACTCCGTAGGAAGGTAGAATTCGGTAAAATCCCGTACATTCTCGCATAAACTTGAAGCAACCGGCACCAAACAAAAATGCTTCTTACTCCCAATGCAAGTTTCTCCTCGCCATTGCGATCTTCACGGTCGCCAGGCTGAAAGTATCCTTCGAGGGGCCTACACCCTAAAGCCTACACCGTGGGTCTGAAGATCGAATTCTGAGCCCTCGGAAACAACAGGTTGTACAGGAGTACCAGGTCTAAGCTCTGAGAGTTGGAGTGAAACTCATATCTTTGAACCAAGTCTTCTTAAACTCTGAGCCCCTTTTTTGAGCCGCGCTAGCTACGTGTCTAAATGACTAAGCAGTTCCAAAACCATGCAGGTCCCAAGTCACCACAAGTCTGTAATCCACAGCAAATCAACTATAGACCCCTGAGCTCAGCCCTAGCGCGGTTTAAGGTTTAGGGTTTAGGGCTTAGGGACAACCACATTTGCATGTCTGTACAGCGCATTGGAGATGAATGGAGTATGTCGCGGTATGTCCTTCGCTTCTCTTTGAACTGGCAGACTCCAAGCTAAACACAAAAGGCCCTCTTTTCCATCCTTCTGTAATCCCTTTTCCGCCTAGCAAAGGTCACAATCTCTGGCATCAGATACACTTAATGGTTGTAAGGAGTAAGGGAACACAACCCCTATATGATCATGATGTAATATATTCCCATATTCCCTTCTGAACCCCAGTAATTACAGGATAGTACAGGTTCTCCATAGAACCCCTTCACGCGCGCAAGTCAGCCACATCTGTCATGTTTAGTGCTGGCTGGGGATGTGGAATACGAACTCTACCCACAACTGTACAAAACCAGTTTGTAAGCCTACCTTTTTGGGGTCACAAACTGTAGTATAAAAAAGAATCCCGAAAATCCCTAAACCCCAAACCTTCAAACCCTCAACCCCTAAACCCTAAGCCTTTCGAATCTCAACGTCAGGATGCTTGGAACAATCGCCCTAGTCGCAGGCCCAGAGCCCTATGCTCTTCCAGAGAAACCTACGTTCTCGTGTTGCAGTTCCTCTCATCCACCCGTCAGGCTTAGGGTTTAGGATTCCCCTCCCCCTAATATTAACCCTCCAACCCCTCTGAAATATTAAATACTCGCCATTATGTGGTATATTATAATATGTTGTGTATTTAACATTAAGGGGGGGGTGGGGTTGTCTAATATTCTTGGGAGGGGTTAAACGGCTCCTACAAAATCCGCCATGTAACCAAGCCTCTGGGGGTCCCTAACTCAAAATGTAAACCCTGTAACAGTCTATATTAGGGGTCATATGAAAGACTATATATAACCATATTATTGAGACTACAGGGTTGGGGCAGTACCCTATCTAAACCGTAAAACCCGTACCCAGAGCCCCTAAAGGATCCAAAAATTGGAGCCTCCCAATGATCCTCTAGTTTCCCCAATGTAGTAATGGGGGTCATTCTAGGGGGGTCCATTCTTTGGAGCCTTTAGGGGGCCTGGGTACCTTACACGCAGGCCATGTCTCCATCTTTGTAGGGACGCTTGGAGATGTGGAAGAGTCGTCGCTTGGCCGCTTTGCGCGCCCTCCCGGCGGTCCGGCTCCCCACTCCAAGCCTCTTGGGATTTTGCAGGAAGTTAAAAAGGCTTTATAGGGGTATATGAGGAACGCATGAAACCATTGCATGATTTTGGATTCAAGGTTAACGTGCATGATCATTAAGAGGTATAGAAAGAATCTCTGGCGAGTGTGTAAGCCTTTTTGGGAAGGATTCAAAGAGTGAGCTTGATGTCGGAAGTGCGTAAGGGTTCTGAAAGGTGGAAACTTGGCATGTTGTGCCCAAACCCTAAACCCTAGACCCTAAATCCTAAACCCTAAACCCTAACCTGCATACAGCCAATCTTGGCGTGTGGGAGATGGAAAGCGGCCTTGGGCAAAATACTTGCTAACGACGGCCAAGGAGCTCTTTGCAAAGCTGCATACCTCAGCTTAACCCATGTCCCTTTAGCCCTTTTTTTTTTGCTGCTGGACTGTCCCTTTAGCCCTAAATCCCTAAAACTCACCAAAACTTCACTAGCTTCCATTTTTGCCCCTCTACCCCTATGAAACCCCTCATTAAACCACGAATAACGCAGTAGCTTCCATTTTTCCCCCATATACACCTATGAAACTCCTTCCTTTCAATTCCTTCAATGAAGTTAGGTTGGGTTTTGGAGGGGTGGCCAGCTCAGAAGTGAAAAGGGCTTAGGGCTTAGGGTTCACGGGTTCAGGGTTTAGGGGTCTAGGGGTTTAGCGGTTTAGGGTTTAGGGCTTAGGGTTCATAATCCCGATCTCAAGCATATGAGCCAATGTAGTCCCCTGGAGTCCCTTATAAGGATCCCCAAACCCAGGGGTACAACCCTAGGGGTACAAGCCTGAAACCCTGAAAGATTATGATTTCAGAGCAGGGTCATTGACCTGATCTGATCCGTCAGTAGCGTTTCTTCAAATAGAAAAATGTGCCAAGACAGCATGACACACAGTATTGACACAGGAGGGGTAAGGAAGGAATGCCAGCAATCAAAATTGTCAGCTGGTAGTTGTTCAAAATATCAGTCCCCAAAATTGTCATCATGTAGTTTCCCTGTAAAAGGGGAAGTGTATTCCCAATGGTCCCTTCTTTGCAAGGACCTCTAGAAGAACCCCCAACTTATGTGCGGCTGCGGTGGTTCACTCGCAAAGGCAGGCGCGAAGCTTTTGTAGTGGGGAGTCCTAGGGTCCTGCCCCCACCTTTTAACAGTCCATTAGAGGGACCATATTAAGGGCTCTATATACTTACATTTATTATCCAACTGTTGTTAAGTGGAAGCAGTACCTATGTAAAGTAGGGAGTACCACAAAAGCAGTCTGATGTAGGGGCCTCAATGAACACCAAAATCATGGTTCTTCATTCCTTGGATAACTA